CACCAGTACCCTCTTAATTAGTGAGCCCAGTAATATTTGTAGTCTGAACAAAAGTGCCTTCTCCAGTCAGAAGCCTGAACGTTCTACCCAGTACCTATATATTTGTGAGGCTCTCATACCTTCTTTATGTGGAGTGCCATTCGCATCCTCTTCTAGATCATGCTCTTCATCTGAGGGGATAAACATGATCAGCATTAGCAATTAGTAGTTGATAGTCTTATGCTCTTTATACTGGTGGGTCTTCTTTCTCATCATGCTCTTTTCAAGGCAATAATTGTTCTTCTTTTTTTTTTTTTAAATCATCTTGCATCTTCAAACTGGCCCTCTCCTTCCCTCCCCATTCATTCATTCATAAATGTTTTTAAGCGCTTACTATATGCAAGGTGCTACACTAGGAACTGGAGGCCCAGCAATGGACAAGACTGGCAGGGTCCATGCCCTTGTGGAGCTTTCAATCCACTGGATTATTTAGGCACCTATCACTAGAATCCTGATCCTTTCCCTCAAGCTCTATTTCTCCTCTCCTTCTAGAATTCTTTTCTAAATGTATGGTTTCTATGTAAGCATCCAGAGTTATGGGTGTGTGTGTGTGTGTGTGTGTGTGCGTGTGTGTGTGCATGTGTGTGGCTAAGCATGTGTTTAAAAGCTCCATGATTAATTAGTCCTTAATGTATCAAGTTTTGTTCAACTGTAGCAGAAGCTGGTCATGTAGGTAATTTTTTGTTCCTAGTACTTAGGGCTTATAGTTATCTTTTTACTGTTGTTATTCAGCCTGCCTTGTTCATTAGAGTGTAAGCTCCTGAGGGCAGTTGGAATGGTCTTTTAATTAACTGCTGCAGGTACACAATGGGTTCTAAGTCAGTGCTGTTGTCTAACTCCAATCAAGTGTTTATATGGTCAAAGTCACAACATGATTGGCCTGTTTCTTACCCTCATTAACCTGTTTCATCTCAGACTTCATACTACCTGATACCATGGGAATTGGGTCTTTACAAAGAAAGCATGAGTACCAGACTCATATTAAGCCATTTTCTATGTGGAGTAAGATGAGCAAAAACACAGTTGCTATTCTCCTTTTCATCATCTCTGCGCATGCTCTCTCTCACTCACACACACACACACACAAACACACAATGAATGGGGCATAATAAGCAACATTTTGAGGATTGAATACTTAGGTTTACTTTCTCTTCCTGGGTCTTGGGGCACTTACCTGGCTTGTTTCCCCATACTTATGCCACTAAATGAAACTTTTGAGGAGATGGCCTGGGGACAGTTCCTTTTTTTTTTTTTAAATATAAGTTTTATAGGGCGCCTGGGTGGCTCAGTTGGTTGGACGACTGCCTTCGGCTCAGGTCATGATCCTGGAGTCCCTGGATCAAGTCCTGCATCGGGCTCCCTGCTCGGCAGGGAGTCTGCTTCTCCCTCCGACCCTCCCCCCTCTCATGTGCTCTCTCTCAAATAAATAAATAAAATCTTTAAAAATAAATAAATAAATATAAGTTTTATAGAGCAATATGAATTCTGGTATGTCAGAATGGGGGAGGTAAACTCTGAGCTCATAAGTAAGAAGAAACAGCACAAACAAACGTTAGAGCACTATAGAACATTAAAGAAGTAATCGATTTCACATTAAAATGATACAATTTCCCTGCAAAAAATAAAAATTAAGGGATTGATATTCTAGGGAAATGAGTCATATGTCACCCAGATTAAAAAATTATCATATATGGGTACCTGGGTGGCTCAGTCATTAAACGTCTGCCTTCAGCTCAGGTCATGATCCCAGGGTCCTGGGATCGAGCCCCGCATTGGGCTCCCTGCTTGGCAGGAAGCCTGCTTCTCCCTCTCCCACTCCCCCTGCTTGTGTTCCTGCTCTTGCTATCTCTCTCTCTGTCAAATAAATAAATAAAATCTTTGAAAAAAAATTACCATATATGTAATGTATATTTGCCCTACAAGATTCTGTGGGGAAAGAACTCAACTCTTCTTACCTTCATGTATGGCCTCACAACAGAGAATTTCCTACTGACCACCTGTAGTGCCCCCCCAACTCCCCCTGCCCCGTGATGAGGAATAAAGATGTGAGATAATGGAGGAGTGAAATCAAATATCGGAAATAGACCTTGCTGAAATAAATCATGTCAAACATGATTCTTTGCACATTGTCTTCCTATTACTTGCCCACTTCCTTCCTTCCTCTGCCCTGATGCTTTTCCTTTTTGACATGGGACCAATTTCACAGGATTGAAAACATTAAAAGAAGAGTTGGTACGGCCTCAGTTTTAGAGATACCCGATAATTTGGACAGGGAGCATCTCTTCTGCTGATACCAAACAACTCAATCACAAAGACCAATAATTTGCTGTGCTTAGGCACTTTTGCAGAGACGGTTTATTCTACCTCGGCTGTCTGTGCCCAGATGTCTCTTCCTCCCAATTCTAATCAATGTAAATTGGGTCAGATCTCCGCTGTGAATTACAAATTGGATCCGAAGTTGGAGGGTCACCGTGCCTGTGACTCCACCTCCTTCCCACCACCATTAGATGGGAAGCTACACCAAAGATCTTTTCTAAATAAATCAGACTTTATTGTAAAACTCGGCCACTGACGAGACATAACCTCATTAGCATTGATTTTAAAATAAATTATTGAAAGTGGCTTGCCTGCTCTTTGCATTTGTAAAATAGGAGAATGTAAATGTATTTGCAATGATAAAAATGAAAACTAAACTTGATTCCTTTATCCTTTCAGGCAACAGCACTTAATCTAGTCATGATACAAAAATGGGAAAAATAAAAATCCGTTCTATGCCGTTCAATTCCAGACCAGATACTCTGATTTCCTTTGCGCCTGTGGAGTCACCTAGAAAGAAAGCAGAACGCTGGCCATAACTCTAATCCCCACATCTATTCTATCTGACGTTGACCTTCCCGGGGGGCTGAAAGGGGGCTCAAGTCAAGAAGCCTAGCTACGGATGCAAGAGGCTGGGTGCTGTGCCTTTGAAGGTGTGAGCATGGAGGTTCCGTCCCATAGGGAAGGCAATGCTCTTCACAGCTGGTGTACAAGACAGCAGTTCTCAGCACCTTCCCAGCTGCAGAGAGGTGGACACTTTACCTCGGATCCTTCAATGAGATCAAACTGGCATCGTTCAAACTCCAAAGTCGAGAAAACCAATTACGTGGCCCCAAAAAGAAATGTCTCTTTGCTCACAAAAGAGGGTGGGTTAAACAGCTAGATTTCTTTCTCTCTCTCTCTCTCTTTTTCATCTGTAAAATGAACCTTCAATTTTAAAGAGATTATTTTGAAAAAAAATTTTTCTTTAGGCTAAAGAGCTTATTGAACTTCTTTATAAGAATATTATTAGGCATTTTAGCATTACATCTACTGGAATACATCTTCATTTAAGAGATAATTAAAATTTATGTGCAAGCTCAACTTTAAACAGTAATAGATTATAATGGTCCTTGCTCCTAACAGGGCATATGGGACCCCAACCTTACATAGATTTTAAACAAATTAACCTCTAAAGATTACTGTCCACTTATTACATTAAATGCTCTACTTGATTCCCAAATATCTCATCTCAACTGGGAAAACAGTTGAGGAAGATTCTGTGAGCTGTGCGAACATGTGAGAGAACCATGGGGCATCACAAATGAGGCTCAGTATCCAGAGAGTTGATTTCAATCAACACTCTTGGCACAATGTCAGGGACACTAATGAGAGGCTGAAAGGAACAGGACACTGACTTCACCGCAGAGACACAGAGAGGAACCAGCTTCCCATGACACCTGGCTCCTTTCTGAAGTGCTTTCTCTGACATCGGCTAAACTGAGAACAACACTGGAAAAAACGACTGGATCAGAAAGAGGGAAATCACTTCCCCCAAACAAAGCAAGGTGACAGAAGCTTAAAAAATGCCAAATGTATCAATGTGCAACCAGATGTCAAGGTGCTCTGGTGACAGATGCAACAGAAATGCAGATAGACTCGGAGTACAGAGACAGCACGCAGGACAGTAGAAATGGAAAGCACTCCACGGCAGGCACAGATATGCTATAAATCTGTGGATGCTACAGCACCTCTTCAGACCACATGGAAAATATGAGCAGGATGCTAATAACACACTTAATTCTCTGTTGTATAGTTTTTAATCTCAACTGTTACCTCAGAATATTTGCATCCTATCTCTGTGGTATGGTCTTGATGAACACGATATCAAATCCAATTTGTGCTAACTGCAACACTTGGAATGCGCTGAATTTAATTTCACAAGTAATAATTGAGCACCTACTAATTGGAGGAGAAAGACCCGAATGCAAATCACTGTGGTAAGGGCTGAAACGGAGCTCAATTCTAGTTGAGTATCTGGGAGGGTGTCACTAAGGAGACATGTTTGAGCAGAAGGAGCAGGGTTTCATAGGCTGAGCTCAGGGAGGGTGTTCTAGGTGAAAAAAACTCCAGCATGATCCTGGTTTTGGTGCTGGGCCAAACAACACCTGGTGCCCGGGGCCCAGTGTGCACGGGAGTGAGAGAGGGAAAGGGCCAGGAAGCTCAGGCCTGCTGATGGCTTTGATTCTTTGAAGCTCCCTCCCATGGAGTGCTGTTGCTTTTCTGTGAAGCTGAAAATCCCTTTCTTCATAAACTTTGTGTTTTTGGCGTCTGTTTTTTTCTTTCCTTAGACCTACTCTCACCATTTCTTCTTCCTGTGGGTCTGGACAACAGTGAAGGAGGAAAAAATAATTCCATAGAATGCTTGTTTCCATTTTACTCAAATTAAACAAACAAAAAACCACCCAGTTATATGCTTTATTATAAAGCAATCTGGTTTCTGGGTCTGTAATAACCCTCCGGGGCAGTGTGGGCAGCATCGGAATGCACACAGAAATTCCTAGGGAGAACTCATGGTCTCTCTTCCCGTTTGCTCTCCTGAAATCTCTCCTGAGAACACAGCCAGATTCTGTTGTCAGTGCAGCTGTGACAAGGCCCCAGTTAAAGCTGTACAATGGTCTCAGGCGCCTTGCTGGATTCCAGCTTTGAGGCCCCAGACAAAGTGAAACCTGATAAAAGTTGTCCTTTTATGAAATACTGAATCATAAAACTGGGCCTGTGCTAGCCTGTAAAATAATTTCCAGGGAGGGGTGAGAGAGAGCTCAGCAAAGCCTCCCATCTTCCACAGATTGCTTTAGCATTTCTTTGTGGTAGTTCCCTATAGTTTAATCTACTGCAAATGAGATCTTAAAAATCAAGGGCCCCATATACTCAACACGGATGCTCAGAAATCCCACCGGATACCAACCTTGAAACCATATTACCCAGGACTAATATTTTTGTGGTCTTGGCTGAAAACCTCGAGTGCTCTGATGGGCCTTTCCCTCATGGGAAGGACGGTGCCAGCCACGTAGCAAATGCTAATCATCCCATGATCAATGTGATGTAGTGCATTTAATTTGATGACCCATACATTATTTTGATTAGGAAAAAAACATTTTTGTATTGACTTGGTATGTTACAAGCACTTTTCTCTCCACTAGGAAGACCACTGAAATTATATTCTGGAAGGGAGATCTCACTTACGTGGCCTTCCAATAGAGACCATGAGGCTTGTGTAGGCCCCAGCCCAAAGAGGAAGCCGTAGCAGAGTCATCAATGCTAAGTATTCTCTGCAAAGCACATTTACCTGTTATAATGAAACAAATGTGAGAAGCCCAAATCATTTGACTTTTGATGGGTCTGCAGTGTTAGCACAATCCAACGTTACCATTGGCCATCCCTCCACCCAGCACCTGTCTTTGCAGTAAATCGGGCCTGAGCAGAAGGTGCACTCCACATTCCATCTGCTCAGGATTTTCAATTTCACCTGCTTCATACATATAGCTGAAAATGTCCAACTGGACTGTCTCAGGTTTGGTTGGTGGAGGCGGGGGACTAGCCATCCCTCAATTTTTCAAGGAGGTAACCCTTCCTATTTAAACACCACCAAGTTACTAACGGCCAGCATTACTGAGTGCTCACTGTAGGCCAGGGTTCCATTCTAAGTGTTTTACACACTCCGGTTCTAGGCTTCTCACAGCATCCCTCTACGACAGGTACTCTTGTTATCCCCGTTGTACAGGTGGGAAAATCACACACACAGAGGGCAAATCACTTGCTCAAGGTCTCACAGCTAGCAGGTGGCTGAGCAGGTCCATTCTGACTCAGAGCCAGCACTTTTACCTGTGATACCTTGCTGTCTCTTGCATGCGGCTGCTCCATAGATCTTGTGAGATGGCAGCAGAGGGTAGGCAGCTGCCCTCACATTCCCTTCCAATTCCTCCAGGGCTGGTACTGTGGCACATGTATAGTGAACAGAAAATTCCAGAAGCAACAAGCTGAGTGGCGTGGGTGGGAAGCTGGGGGATGGAGACTCGGGGCTGAAATATTCTTATCATCATTAAATGCCAATATAGCCCACCTCCAATGCTGTCTCTAAAAACTGGGATGGATAGATGGTTCTTTTCGGGAAAGAACCTGTTAGTTAGCTGCGGTTTCCCTAACATGAAGAAAGACACCCTGGATCTCCTGCAGTGTGGCCTTCCTCACTTTCGGGGGACAGTTGTGAGCATAGGCGAAGCGGTTTTCCTCGGGAAAGCAGGCCAGTGTCCATGCCCCCAGAGTCTATCTAACATCTCAACTGGTGCGAAGTTCGGAGGCATGCCCTGGGACCCTCGGCAGTGCCGGGATGGCCAAGGGTAAGAGTTGAGGAGGCAAGGGAAGGATGGTCGTTAAGAAGCCAGTCATACATTCATTGACACATCATCTGGGGTAAGGTGATGGTCTCAAAATCATCTTATTTCCCGATGCTCCTTCTCTTTCCTGCCCTTTGCTCTGCACCTCTGAGCATCAGCCCCCTCCTCTCTGGTTCCTCTGAGAACTAAACCTGTGCATGAAAAGGCCCTTCTTTGCTCCCCAGAAGGCTGAGTGGTTCAGTGAGGTTTTCCCAGAGCACTCTTCCACAGCTGTAACCCAAAGTGGAGTGTCACCTGGATATTTCCCCCAGCCTAGATGGGAGTGAGTGGAATGTGAGCTCCCTAAGAAGATTCTGGCCAAGTTGGGGAGTACATCTCGTTTAAGGGAGTGTTGTGAATTAGATCCATTTCTGCACCCTGCTGTTGCAGTGGAGCAGACTGTGAAAGGGAAGATTCTCAGAGGAGCTGTGTTTTAATGTAGCAATTTGATTCAATTTTCCACTCTATAAAATTACCCATCACTGCTCGTTGCTTTCTAACAGACACCTTCACTCTTAATTTAACAATCCTATCGAATTCTGCCAGGGAAATTGGAAAAATTTATCACCTGTGAAATTTTATTTTCCTTTGGTTGTATCTGTTTTTGTAAAACTTCATTAACGACGATGACTTGCTGAGGAAATTATCATTTTTTTTTTAACTTCAGACACAAGAAATGGCTCGACCTCAACCAAGATATCATTTGCATAATAAAACACAACAAAAAGGCTGGGGAAGTCGGGACTGGCAGAGGCTGGAAGTGCTAGGAGAAGAAGCAGGCTCTCCCTGGTGGATGGGGAGGTAGGTGAAGTCCTCAGCAAGGAGACATGGGGCCACAGCCCGGCTCCTTGACTCAGGAAGCAATGACGTGGCTCACCCCCACACCCCCAAGGGAAGAGACAAATGCAGCATTGGGACAGGGTTGGACCTTCTTCTTAGGAAGCCTTGAAATGCAAGTTGCTTACTGACCCTGCTTTTTAGCAACCAGTCCTGTCTTCAGGGGCCCGAGTGTTAGATTCACCTTGGTTCCTAACTTCGTCTGGGATCGAGGTTTAAATTGCTATAAATTTCGGCTTAACTCGAATTTCTCAGCAGAGCACTGAACTCCTGGCAAATTTCCACAGGAGCAATCTTTCTGAATGGACTTGAAGATTCAGCGTTCCTGTGGTCTAACTACCTCACAATTAAGAGGCTCAGGCTTTGGTTTTCCACAGTCTGACCCCCACTGTGCTCCGCGCCGTTCAACAGCTGCTGTTGTTCCCACAAGAAGGGGCTATGTGGAAGCAGTGATGACTATACATTTTTTGAGATGCCAGTTATCATGCCTTTGGAAGAAAAGAAATATGTACATGGGCCTGCTGTAATGGTGGGCAGAGGAAACAGGTTTATGTGTGAGAGAGACGATTAGATTTGTGGTATATCTGAACCAGGTACTGATGGGTTATACTCCATTGGGGTCTCCTTCGGTTACTGACAAGGTCTGTCAGCGCTTACTTGTACTCCTTTAGGCTTTTGATAACCTTCATCATTTTGAGGTGACTTTATTTACTCACATTTACCCAGAAAAGAAGTTGAAACTAGAGAGTTTTGATGACCCACCTCAAGATCCAGAGTAAACCAATGGAGGCCAACATGAGGAGACTTGACTCTTTAACCTTGTTGACATATGTAATAATTAAATTATTGTTGACATATGTAATAAGTTACTTTGCATGGCAAAGGTGAAAGACATGCCCTGATCAATTCATCTTGCTCCCAGAGCACGGGAGAGCTTTTGTACTGGGAATCATAGAAGCTCCACTGAAGCTTCCCTATGTTATTTTCTTCAGAGATTGGGCTTCCTCTGGAGGTTTCAAACTTACATTCTTCCACCAGGTCAAGAATTTCTGAAACTAATAGAAGATAATCAGAAGACAAAATTTCTCACCTGGTAAGACTTCATAAATATCTTCTTCTGTCTCCTTTGTGGGCTCTTTTAGCCCCAGACTCCCAGGCAAGATGACAGGTCTGCATTGGGAACCGGAATTTGGGGCATCAAAACCATCGATATCATCATATGTCTCTTCCTCTTCCTCCTCTTCCTCCTCCTCTTCACATGGAATGGTTAAGGAGCTCAGATCTGCCAGGGCAGAGATGAGAATGAATCCAGATGGGGAGAAAAAAGGAAAGAATAAGGCAGGGAAGGGAAGAGGGAGAAGGAGGCAGAGGGATGAGAATAAGATATGTCAAAAGAAAATGAAACGCTGGGTTAAGTGCTGTTATTTCTAATGTGGGCCTTGGTGCCAGGAAATCTACAGGAAAGGCCAGACTAGCACTGTGTCAGGTTTAAACCATCAACATAAATCCTTCCCTGCAATAAAACTTGATCAGGATGAAGCAGCTCTGAAAAGTAGGAGTGTGCGAATGAGCACAAGAGGCGAAGGGTTGAGAAGAAGGTGGAAGAGGAAATGCCAGCACCCCGTGCACTGTTCCCTGAGTAGAGAAAGGGCAGGGGGATGGTCTGTGGCTCCCCAGGGTGCGCAGAGCCCTGGGAGCGATGGTGGCTCCTGGAGGGTAGCCGAGCTGTCAGAAGCTCGTCACCCCCATGATCTCACTGCAGAATGTCAGACAAGTTTGTTCGTAAAGAGAAAAACGGGCAAGAGTGGAAGAAGGGAAAGTGAGATACAGAAAAATATAACAGTTGTGCGAGACCAAATGGAATGGCTGAGCCACGGGGTTACCATTGTCATTTTGTAACTGTGCAGTCTGGCTGACCTCAAAGTGGGTCACTGCAGAGAGGATGTTGAGCTGTAACAGCACTGGGCAGCACAGGGCAGGAGAGGGAGATTGGTTTTTTATTTTAATGGGGAACTGGGAAGGTTCGCTCTCGGATGTCTAGTACAGAAGGCTCTCTGAAACCCTGCTGAGGGGTCTCTGCAGGATGGGGGAGTGCAGTCAGGGTACTCTGGGGAAGGAATGGATGGAGAGACATCCGATGTTCATTTCAAAACACAATAAAACTGTTTGGCTTGATTAGGCATTTAATAAAGATTTTGCAACAATTTTCATCGGAATTCTGGTGCCACCTCATATGAGGAAGGGATCAAAGACACATTTGTGACTTAAACCATATGTTATTATTTTGTTTGTTTTAAAATAAAATGGAATGAATAATTTCTTCAATGTGGGATTCTGAACGTACCACAGGGTACAGCTCAATAAAGCTGCTTTGAGTTTTATTGAGGTTTACACACTTAGGGGTATATTACACGCATAAATCCAAGGCACCTAGATGAGAGTGTACCCTGTAGTCTTGCCATCAATGTTCATGTTTGCCTAGCTCCAGTCTATTATACGTGACGCTCTTGGTAGATGCAATAGTTTGTTTTTGTGATAGCAAAGGCATAAACTGAGTAAAATAGGCAATTCTTGTAATTAAAGCTCTGGTGCTTCCTTCTTTTTATCCACAATAAAATCTTACAGCAGAATAAAAAAAAAAAAACGGAGACGAAAAGGCTTGGTGTTTTTAGGCTGGTGTGCTTCTCCCTAGGTCTTGGGCCATGTACAACGTTGGCGTTTCTGCCTTTCTGCAGCGGCAGGGTCCTGCCACGAGGGTCTATCCTGGGTTATCTGATGCCAAGTGATGGACTCAGGTTGGCTGTTTCTACCTGTCAGGCCACTCCCAGATAAGCCTTCCTGGGCCACTCTCACTGCTGTGCCTGCAGGCTGGCCAGCAGAGGGTACTCTAAGAGCGGTCATTTAACATCTTCAGGCAGGACTCTTCCCATCCCAAAGCAAGGGACATTTTATTGTGGTTTGGGTAAGAACAGTTTGCTTTTAATGTCCATGTTGATGAAGGCCACCTTGACAAGTATAGATTTCTACTTCTTGCTAAGTTTCAAACAAGAAGATTTGGGGCCTAAATTGCATCTAGGTGACTTTACATTTGATATCATGAATTTGTTTTCCAGAACATACGGGGTTGTGAGGCACCGAATGGAGCTGAGCTGGTTTTCAGAAGTTCCTTTTCTAGTGATTACGAATACTACAGAGGTCATCTCCAGGTTGATGGTTTCTTTATCTTATGATTCATACATGGTACTATTTGTTGTTATAATATAAGGGATGGTAGAAGGGAGAACGAACAGAAAAGAAAATACAGATTGAAGACTGTGGATTATATTTATGCAATATAACTTCAACTGCAAATCCACTTAAGTGTTGTTTCTGTAATAAGGATACTTACCCTTTAACAAGAAACTGATTTGATCCACCCAGTCTCTGGCTTCAGCTGGATTAGCAGCTGTAAACTAGAGAAAAATTAGTGAATTAATTTATTACCTTCATGAATTCATAAAATTTCCATGAATCCTAGAGGGAGGTTCAAAGAGAAGAGCCTGTGAGTCAAGTTGCAGAGTCAGGTTGAAAGCTGAGGATTCTCTGTCTGCTTAATATTTAGAAAAAAGATCGAAATCTTACTCAAAGTGATATTTCCCTTCATCTGTATACCCAATGTTGACTACTATTTGAGTCCAGACCTTCACATTCACATGCATTCATTCGATTATCCATGCATTCATCAGGCATTTTTTTGAGAAAAGGTTACCAAAAAAAAAAAAAAAAAAAAAAGGCAAACCCAAACTCCTGACTTTAAAGAACAGTGTATCAGTTATGGAGACAAGATACACACTTGAGATGGGAACCCACGAAGTAGGTGCATCTGAGAACAGTCGGATGCTGAGAGAGCACAGGAGCACTTGCCTGGAGTAAAGCCAGGGAAGCTGGTGCAAATAATGCTGTTTTGGTCGGATTTTAAAAGAGTTGGTGGAAACTGCCTGGTGGAGGGAACCATGTTCAGGAGATTAGGAATGAGACCACTGTGTATGGGGGAAGGTAGGCAGATCAACTTGACCGGAGAACAGTAACAGGTGATGTGGGAATGTTGCCAGTCCGGGAGGAGTTGGTGAAGGGGCTCTGAGTACTAGGTGTTCAGACTTAAAATGTAGGCAAGAGCAAACCACTGTAAATTCTAGCAAAAGGTGTGGGAGATTCTTTCAAGAGTTGTGGGGAGTAGGGATTAGAAAAGGGAGATACTGGAGACAGGAGACCAGCTAGAAGGCTATTTCATTGGTCCTCTGGGGGAAGTGGTTGGGACAACTATTGTGATGGCGGTGGGAATAAGTAAGAAGGGGACGATCCAAAGGATATTGTAGGTAAAGAATCCACGGACCATGATAATGATTTGGATTCAATGGGCCAAGGAAAAGAAGAAGTAAACAAACTCTACATTCTGATTCACAAAACAAGCCAGTCAAGCACCAAGCCTTAGCATTTTTTTATTTTAAATGAATCAACTTGAAATGACTGTTCCTGAAAAACATTTTTATTATCTGGCCATTAGGGTAAGATAAAGATACGTGCCGTATAATAAACCTAGTTCCTGCTTAATACTTATTAATAGACATTGTCATTCTTGATTTCTTAAAAACTCACTTCCATAAGAAATGTCTAAGGAAATTGATTTAGACTTGTCATATAAATTTTTATCTGGAGGAGACACCATCAATACTGAATAATAAAAATAACTTAGATACATGCCCAGTGCATACATCTGTTATGTATATATCTATGAAGGACTCTCTAGAAAAGTTTATTTTATT